ACTCCGCCACCTAGGGATTATGAGCGGGTTCTTCGTTGAAGACCCCTTTAAGAAGGAGACATGACACCAATCGAGTTCGTCACTGTAGGCATCGAATCCCCGTGGAAGATTCAAGCTTTTGCCTAGAGCCACCCATGACGGCCCCACCAAACCTTGGTTGAGGATCCAACCACATCAATCAGTCCCCATGACAACCTCAAAACCAAATGGTCCCAATCTGGCGGAGGAGAATCACTCTTCAACAATGCCTCCAAGAAGGGGAAAGTTACCCCCAAGCGCCATCATCGCATGCATCGACCCTTGCCAAAGGCTAAACTTTAGCCAGAGGCGCAAGCCTCTCCACCTAAGGATCCCCTGGGAGGGGAGCACTGCCATAAATAACCAGTAATACAAGCCTCGCAGTCGCATTGGCGAACCTGAACCACGCGGATCGGGGAACACCACCACTTCAACTTCGACACCATGAAGTTCAGTAAAGGCCAACAACCAGACATCGTCAGCGAGCCACCGCTAGGATGTGTTTGGTTATAGGGACATATTAGGTTGGCCATGGGTATTCCCATCCAAGTGGCTAGCGATAGTCACTTTTTTTGTTTGGTTTGTGGGTGAGGTCGTTAGCCTGTGTTTTATTTGGTTTGAAGGATAAACCATAGTTAGGGATAGCCATTCGAGTGTTTGGTTTGAGGGATGAGTAATGGATAGGGGTTGTGGTGACCTTTTTGTTCGAGGTGGTGAGATTACCCCTTAATTTGTTATTTGTTAACATGAGGCAATCAATTATGATATGTACAATAATAACCCAAAAATGTAACTAAATTTTGACATCATGCATGCCCAAACAAACTCATTAATAGTACAAGCCAAACTTTAACTTCAATACATATCATAGTTCACCATTTTCACATACATAGTTCAACATTTTCAAGGGAGAGGGGGGGTGTTGTAGCTCCTACTTCCTTGTCGCATTTTCCCTTTGAGCTGCTGTAGCACAACATTGATTAAAGAATCAGTATTTTGGGGAGATAATTATGGGAAGAAACACACATGTCAGTACAACACGCACACACAAGCACATCATGTGCACACCGCACACCCACACACATTGCTGGCAAGCCCGACAGGCACGCCCGACCGGAGAGAACCGCCTCCTTCCACAGGGCTCTGGCGGCTATTTGCAACACTCACCTCTGCTTGTCGCTGCCATCACCTCTGCTTGGTTGTAGCTCCAATCGGAGAGATGGCAGAGGAAGGATGTGGCACGATAAGTAAGAAGGTAAGAAAGGAGAGATCCATGCAATCACAGATTCACCTCCATCGCCACACTTCAGTTAGCTTCCACCGCCGCCCGCCGTCACGGGAGAAAGAATAAAGATGGAACTCAGTTTGGGCATAAAACCTGGTATTCAAAAGTCGAACATGAAAAACCTAAACCCAAAAAACCCAAACACATTCTCGAGTAGCAGTTTTGAAACCCCGGATTTTACTCAGAAAATTCAGGTCTACAGTCACGCACCTCGACCTACCTGAAGTAATAGGAGCCTAGTAAAAAAATCTTCCCAAAGGTCCAAACATCCCAGCCTAGCCAAAATGCCCCCACGTATTTTTTTTCCAATTTCCTGCTTTCTACCAGGTTCGGTGTTGGGGAACGTAGCAGAAATTCAAAATTTTCCTACGTGTCACCAAGATCTATCTATGGAGAAATCAGCAACGAGGGGAAGGAGAGTGCATCTACATACCCTTGTAGATCGCTAAGCGGAAGCGTTCAAGAGAACAGGGTTGAAGGAGTCGTACTCGTCGTGATCCAAATCACCGGAGATCCTAGTGCCGAACGGACGGCACCTCCGCGTTCAGCACACGTACAGCCCGGTGACGTCTCCCATGCCTTGATCCAGCAAGGCGAGAGGGAGAGGTTGAGGAAGACTCCATCCAGCAGCAGCACAACGGCGTGGTGGTGGTGGAGGAGCATGGTGATCCAGCAGGGCTTCGCCAAGCACCATGAGATATGAGGAGAAAGAGAGGTAGGGCTGCGCCAACAAGAGAAGAAACTTCGTCTATGGGCTGCTCCTTTGCCTCCACTATATATAGGGGGAGAGGGGGGGCTGCGCCCCCACCTAGGGTTCCACCCTAGGGGCGGAGGCCAGCCCAGATCCCATCTGGTGGGGCGGCCAAGGGGAGGGGGAGAGGGAGGCGCACCAGGCATGGGCCTTAAGCCCATCTGCCTTAGGGTTTGCCCCCTCCTCCCCTTAGGCACCTTGGGCCCTTGTGGGGGGCACACCAGCCCACCTGGGGCTGGTCCCCTTCCACACTTGGCCCATGCAGCCCTCCGGGGCCGGTGGCCCCACTTGGTGGACCCCCGGGACCCTCCTGGTGGTCCCGGTACGTTACCGATAAAACCCGAAACCTTTCCGGTGACCAAAACAGGACTTCCCATATATAAATCTTTACCTCCGGACCATTCCTGAACTCCTCGTGACGTCCGGGATCTCATCCGGGACTCCGAACAACATTCGGTAACCACATACAAACTTCCTTTATAACCCTAGCGTCATCGAACCTTAAGTGTGTAGACCCTACGGGTTCGGGAACCATGCAGACATGACCGAGACGTCCTCCGGTCAATAACCAACAGCGGGATCTAGATACCCATGTTGGTTCCCACATGTTCCACAATGATCTCATCGGATGAACCACGATGTCGAGGGTTCGATCAATCCCGTATACAATTCCCTTTGTTTAGCGGTATTGTACTTGCCCGAGATTCGATCGTCGGTATCCCGATACCTTGTTCAATCTCGTTACCGGCAAGTCTCTTTACTCGTTCCGTAACACATCATCCCGTGATCAACTCCTTGATCACATTGTGCACATTATGATGATGTCCTACCGAGTGGGCCCAGAGATACCTCTCCGTCACACGGAGTGATAAATCCCAGTCTCGATTCGTGCCAACCCAACAGACACTTTCGGAGATACCCATAGTGCACCTTTATAGCCACCCAGTTACGTTGTGACGTTTGGCACACCCAAAGTATTCCTACGGTATCCGGGAGTTGCACAATCTCATGGTCTAAGGAAATGATACTTGACATTAGAAAAGCTTTAGCATGCGAACTACACGATCTTGTGCTATGCTTAGGATTGGGTCTTGTCCATCACATCATTCTTCTAATGATGTGATCCCGTTATCAATGACATCCAATGTCCATGGTCAGGAAACCGTAACCATCTATTGATCAACGAGCTAGTCAACTAGAGGCTTACTAGGGACATGGTGTTGTCTATGTATCCACACATGTATCTGAGCTTCCTATCAATACAATTCTAGCATGGATAATAAACGATTATCATGAACAAGGAAATATAATAGTAACTAATTTATTATTGCCTCTAGGGCATATTTCCAACATTCGGTCATTCCCGACCTCGACCCGACCCCAGTTTCCCATCTCCCAGCCTCCACAGGCAACACCACCACCAGTCCATGATGCAACCACCACCTCCATGCCTCCCACGCAGTGACCATTGACCGCCACAACGCCTTGCAACGCGAAGCCTTCTGCTCTCGCAGGTCCCAGTGCACTGCTGCTCTACCTAGCCACTGTGTCGCCTACAACCAGACGTTGCGCGCCACCTGGAACCATGTGCCGATCGTCTCGTCCTAGGGCAACTTGCACCCCGTGGATGAGCTCCAGTGACGACAAAAGCCTCCATCTTATCCGATGCGACACCACAACCAACCCATGTTCTCATTCGACATTTCCACATCTAGAGCCAATGTTTTTCTCACCATGCCATATTTCGGGTAATCAAGGCTACCCGAACCAAATTTTCGGGCACCCGAATTGTTGGGTAGCTATTTTTTTAAGGATTTTTTGGGTGTTAATTTTGGAAACCTGAATCTTTTTTACCCGACCTGATTGTTTGGGTAAAGTTGAACGCCCAGGCTAAGATAGTGGAGGAAGGGATAGGGTTGACTTTTTGTGGGAGTTGAACGAAATGAGAGGGTCATGTAAAAACATTTCGTGGGTTGCCTTTGTGTCGTATGCAACCGATGCCTATTTGTGTGAGGTTTTCGCGGCTAGGCAGAGGCCTCCTTTTAAAAGAATATTCCTAGCATCCAGGTAGCTCTACTCTTTCCCATCCATGAACCAAACAACTAGCGTTTAGACAAAAAAAGGGCTACCCTTGTCTCGGGGTGGGATAGCCCAACAACCAAACGCACCAAATCAAAGAACCCTCACTTCCATTCCTCTAATTTACCTATACTTTCCTTTCAAAATAAAACGCAAATGAATCATAAGAGAAAAAAAATCATAAGAATCTAACCCTACAAATGAAATGAAACGATCAACATAGTTTTTTTTCCTCTTTAAATTAAACAACCCTCGCTTCCCGCACACCAACAATTGAATATTATTCAATAGTTTCCATTCCTCTGATTTATCTATACTTAAACGCAAATGAATCCTAAGAGAAAAAATCCAAAAAAAATCTAACCCTACAAATGAAACGATCAACATTGGTTTTTTCCTCTTTAATTTAAATTAAAAAACCCTCACTTCCAGCACACCAGCAATTGAATATTATTCAATAGTTTCCATTTCTATGATTTACCTATACTTTCCTTTCTCGCTCCGATGTTTTACACCATTCATATAATATATTTTACCCGCGTTCCAAACAGGACCCAGGGCCACTTCTTTGTGGCCCCCACATATCTTCCAATAAAATCCGGCAAAAAGAAAACGATATCTTCCACGAAAAGATTCACCACTCGCCCGGGGCCCGGGTGTCAGACTCCGCAACTCGGCCGCGCCCCCCACCGTGCCACACAAACCAGTATAAAAGGGGCTACGGTCACGCGCCTGCATGCACCAGCACCAGTACCTTTACCAGACCCGACCCGACCTGCAGCCGAGGCCCCACCTGACCTCCCCCCCGCGGTGCCCCGTCACGAAGCCGGTTCCCTGACGGTGCCACGAAGGCCGTGTCCGACCCCGATGGAAGCAGAGTACCCCCAAATAAACCCTCTCCTCCTCTGCTCCAGGCGCCGGAAAAGGGTGGAGGACGAGGGAGGGCTCGAGCTGCTGCTGTCCATGGATCTCGACGAGGAGGAGACGCGCCCGGAGCAGCAGGCGCCGCCCCGGGTTCCGGTACATCTCCCCTCCCTACCTCCCTCTCGCGCCTCCGTCTCTTGGGTTTCTTGGGCGAGTTCTTTGGCGGGGTGGAGTTCTTGGAGGGATGGGTACGGTGAAGGCCGCGCGATCTTGGGTGGGGGGCGGAGTTCTTGGCGGCGGGATGGGCGGCGTAAAGCGAGGATTCGCGCCTGGGATCGGGCGGTGGGCGCGCTCTTTCCGGATTCTTTGCGTCGGGGGTTAGCATCTTAGCGGGGCGTTCTTGGCTGGAAAGGGCGCCGAGATGGTGCGCTGGTTCGTGGGCATTGGTGCGTTGTGCTAGAGATTGCAGTTCTTGATGCTTCTTTACCTGCCAACTTTGTGTATGGAGGACTGATTCCATACTTGTACAGCCGCATGGTGGGTGATTGGGGAATCCGCCTGGCTGGATGTATGCCTTGCGGAAGACGAGTTCTTTGACCTAGGTTTTAATCCATGGGTTCTTTCAATTGAGGGTTCGTCTTTATTGCTGTTGGCAGCACGAGGTTTCAAGGGGGAAATAGGCTCTGTAGATCTGTTAAGGTCCAAAAAGATTTTGTAGATCCCAGCAAATGAAGTGCCTGTTATTGTTTCTTTGTGTGAGATTGCTGGCAACATACTTGAAACTGAAGGATTAACATTTTACCACGGCATGCTGTAGCCTCTATGGTTTGCATTTGAGAGATTCTGTCTGTATGAACATTGATGGCCATGACAAGTTTAGGGGCCATCTGTAGCTTCGTCTACGTGAAGCTCTTTATGTTCTTACAATGCCTTGGTCGTGCTAGGCATATATGGTTATCGGTTGATTGGCAGAAAAGCAGTACTGTATCTTGGGACAAGTTTGGAGGGAGGCTGCCAGGTGCTCTGCAAAACACCGTAATGGCTGAAACCTACATGCTGTCAACTTGTTATTGACAACATCAATACTCTTTTGCTTGCCCTGTGATAGATGCTCAATTATTCGTAATTGTGTGCCCTCTGGTGTCAAATATAATCGAAAGCTGTCTTTGAACTTCAGAAAGACATCTGTGGCTTCATTTCGAATACATTTTTGTGCCGTATTTTTTCTCACATTGATCCTTTTTCGAATAAGCACCCATGAGTCTGTAGACTTTTCTGCTCAGGCGGTTGGTTTATACTTTGTGTCCAAATCATCGATAGGTTGATAATTATATGAAGTGTAAAACAATCAGTTGTAGCACTTGTATTCATCTGCCCATGAAAGACTGTTCTTCTTTGGTCAGAACCTCTGTGTTATGATTTTCCATGAATAGAAAAGTAAAACGTAAAATGAAGTCTGACAACTACATTTTCTTCAAAATCACAGGACAAGCTGAAAGCAGTGTCACAAGAGCTTGGACATGAGATCCGGATATTTACAAGCACAACATTTGAGCTAATGACTAGCAAATTGGCCAAGGCAGATCAGGGTAAATCCTTTTACTTGCTTTTGCTTTACTCAATTCTATTATGTGTCTTTATGGTAATTGCATTGTGACATGAAAACATGGTTCATGCAGAGGAAGACGATGACTTTTATGAGCTTCAGCCTAGTGATTATTACAAGTTGATTTCAAATAGGCTTGCAGGTTACTTAAATACTCTCTTGATATTGTCTGGGAACATTTACATTTATTACTTAAACTTGGCATTGTCCAAGCTTTCTAATTTCTTAACTGTAACAATGTTTAAAATTTGACACCTTGCAGAACAATCGAAAGTTCTGAAGACTCGTAAAATAAGGGAAGCAGAACTTGCTGCTCAACGAGCAAGGCTAACAAAGGTAGGAAGGAATATGATGCACTATGCTACTGTTTAATTATTATGATTATGTAGGAGTGGCATAGCACTTGTACTAATACCACTTTTCATCTTCTAGCTCATTGTATTTTGCTTATTGATTTTATCTAGCCTTATATTAACAGTACCTCCGGACATGTTCTAAGGGAAAATTTGTTTCGTAGAATAAATATATCTGCAAAGTCTAGCTGCTGGCATGTGAAATCCTATGAAGAAATACTTCAAATGATGCACATTGTTTGGATTACTCCCTCCGTTTCTTTTTACTCCACGTATAAAATTTGGTCAAAGTCAAACTACACAAAATTTGACCAAATTTATATCGAAAAATATGAACATATATAATACTAAAACTATATAGTAGTATGAAAATACATTTCATGGTGCATCTGACAATATTGATTTCATATTGTGAATGATGATATTTTTCAATACAAAGTTAGTCAAACTTTTAAAAACTTGACTTTTACCAAACCTTATACTCGGACTAAAAAGAAACGGAGGGAGTATTTATATTTCAAAGTAGCTTCTTTTGCCTTTCCTTATTAATTCAGTATTACTAATTTAGTAGTAGAAAGTTCCCTGTGTCATCCTCATTTAATTGGTTTATTTGTTCGTCCCTCTCTGAATCTAGTTTCAGGGCAAATTCCATTTTGTTGCTAACCTTCTTAACTGTAGGCAGTGGCGAGGGTTCGATTCCCTGATGGTTACATTCTTGAGGCTGAGTTCCATCCATCAGAGACGGTACATAGTCTGGTGGATCTTCTCATGAAAGTAATTGCTAGACCAGACCTGCCATTCTATCTTTGTAAGTTCCACTTCTCTTTTCAGATGATGTAGAGTTTGACAAGTAATATTTTCCCTCTCCTCGTTTCCTGTTCACCAGTTCCTTTCATTTCACCCTGGTTCGGTTAAGATTGGCTCAGTGTTACCAATGATAATACATTTGTGTATGAGTAGCAAACGTATATGTTGACAATCATGACAAACAGGAAAACTACTAGTGCCCTATAAATAGTTCGATGGTCTAGCATCATGTGAACAAAATTTCAGTGCTCTGAGCAAAGGGTTTTACATATTTTTATTAATCGATTGTTATGAAGTGCTATAAATTAATCAAAAACAGTTTGGTATGCAACTATTTACAGCACCGACTTGTTGAGCTCCTAAGTACCCAAATGTGAAAGTGCTCTGATTGTGTGGTCTTTTGACAAGCTTGGTCACATTATCATTTTCTTGTGCCCTTGATTTGAATATCACCAGTGTCCAAATTGTTGCCAGCTTGATGTTGCATGTTTTAGATACAATATCTGTCCTGGAACCCATATTCCATATTACCTTTGCTTGAACTTGTAGAAGTCTGAGGATCCTCTAGTATCCATCCATTGAACTTTTCAGTTTTCACTTGGGATTTTCATAGATCATCTGTAGTCGTGTATTAGAGATGTACCAGTTACAACATCTTAATATCATTTTTATTGACTCCACAACAGACACAGTTCCTCCAAAGAAGCGAATAATGGACGCCTCGCAGGACTTCTACACAATTGGCTTTGTTCCTGGAGCTAATGTCTTCTTTTCTTATGATCTGCCTGAAGGTATGTATTATCTTAAAAACTATAGTATCAATGACGAGGAAATAAGCAATCTTTATTTCTTAGCTTGAGTGTCTTGACAAAAATGCATTTTCTACGTATATAAAGTTGTGTTTCTGGTGCATTCGAAGACAGGCACATGTTCATGATTACCTATTCTATTTCAGCATTTGACTCTTGTTAGTCATATGCATATGCATGAGCTTGCCATTGGGCATTGAATAGCGCAATTCATTCTTGTTAATGTTAAATCAATGTTGTTGGTTCAGATATCAACATGTTTTTAGAGGTATTCATGTGTGTTTGGCATGCAGGGCCGGAGTTAAATACAGATGCTGTAAAATCCGGACCATATCTCCGTGAAGAAATTCGAACTTTGGATGGACTGTCACTTGAGTCGGAACCTTCTGACCAACCTGATGATTCAAAGACAAATTCTGATTCAGCTCATCAGTCTTATGCATTCCAATCTGATTCTGCACCACCACCAGCAGCAAATAAGAAATCAGCCAAACCAAAGTGGTTCAAAAGGTACAGTTGCTTCTAGTGTCTTAGTGTTAGGAAAGATCAGCTTTGTTACTGTTGTTGTTGAATAACCGACCATGTCTTGAGTTTTGTGCTGAATTAAATGAAATCATCATTTCATTGCTGACTTGTCCCTTTGTAGAGTTTTATTTAGAATGAGATAGTTCGTGGACTATCCCAACAGCACTCTTAACTGTGATGGTAGTCCATTAATAAAAAAAAATCCTCTCCAGATATAGCATTAACAACTGAACAATGAGCTAGTTTTAGGAGCTCACCAAATTAGTGCAGAATCATAGCTCTCCAAGTAGGAGTAGCATTTTACTTGCTAATTACACATATGTGAAAGTAGCTAGTTGCAGGTTCGTATGTGTTGACACAATATGCCACAAGAATATTCTCTGTTGCCTGCTTGCACCTTTTTCTGCTGGAGCATTCTTTGTTTTGTGCTAGATAATGACAGTCTATCTAACCTTTTGCAGGTGAGAGCATCAGAGCGTCAATAGTGCACCACCAGCGCGCAATAGCACTTGATTAGGCCTCTCAGCAATCCCAATGCATGATTGATCAGATTTCATGGTTCAACGGCTTCAGCTATGCCGCCCTAGTAGGAGAATTCATCCTGTGTTGCATAGGAGTTGTCGAACCATCGGAATTAGATCTCATATGTTCGTGGTGGTAGCATGTAAATTTGGCTAGTCAAACTGCTTTGTGGGTGTGTATTGGTTAACCCACCTCTCAGATATGTGTAAAAGGCCCCATAGAAACGAAGGAAATGACAGGGCCCGTGTTGTTTACACTTTACTGCATGAATGATATCCAGTAGCATCTTCATGAGAAAGATGGCTTGAGTTGACCGGAAAATTACCAATAAAGTATCGTGGCTTCTAACATGAGTTACTTTGCATTTATGTTATCTTGTTGGCGAGGGATGATGTCATGGCTTTGTTTTGCTTTTCTGCAGCAAAATTTTATGTTCCCTCAGTGAGCAACTAGTAAAGATTATGAGTGTTGCGGCGATGGTAAGTCGCAAAGCAGCATGCATTTTCAATGGCTAGTGGCCGTGGGGCTGCAAGATCGTGCTGAGTGGATGCTTTTGACGGGAAGGTCTAAATAATCGCAGCCTCACAGGCTTAGTTTAGTCTGCGATTGTGTGGCGTATATTTGCTAAATAACAGATGCCAAGGGACACACGGGGCTGCTATACTAAAGCTTCACGTGGCTGCTTTGCCAATGTCCCTGTCGCTGGATGCTTCTGCTCCATTTGCATTTCTATTCTCTCTCTGCATGGTTATTTGCTGGAGTGAGCATCGAAAGAAACAGATACGTTTTGTTGAGGTTGGAGCGATCCGACCTGATACACATGTGATGTGGCTGGTTCATCTCCGTCGACTTGCAGCTTACATGTGGTTAAAGCAACTCCATCTCAGCAACCCAAACAGACGCAGATTTTATCCTTTTTTATCCGTTTGAGTCGCCTGTCCGGCCGTCTGTGTTTGCTTTTTTGATTTGGGTCGGCCGATGCGTTCAACGGGGCTGGACGCATTTTAGATATGTCCACGTTGTTATTCGGTCGAACTCCCGCACTGTCTTGCCCGCTAGTTTTCGGCCGCATCTCGTCCCGTAGCTCTCGCGTGTCCGCTGCGTTGGGCAATCGTTTTTGTCCGCGCAGATCCAAATAAACATGGTCGGACGAAATGAATCATCCGGTTGGAATTGCTCTTAGTTGGCTAACGAACGTAAAAAGGTCTCAATCCTAGGGACGATGCTTCGGTGCCTTAAGGCACCTACCTTTGTGTCTATGACATGTGGGCCCAATAGGTGGCTGGCTCATATGTCACTGACCCAAAGACAGGTGCCTTTAAGACACCGAAGCTGCGTCCCAGTCGTGACCCTCGTTGAGCTCTCGAGCAGGCATTCTTGACCATGACCCCGAAACAAATGTTTTTCCGAAAGTAAAAGGTCACGACATGGACCTCATGCTGTAACCCATCTCGGAGCTGACTGCGAGATGACGCACAGAGAGAAGAAAATCGTGTGGAGACGGTGTCTGAACCTTGGACCGGCGCTGACTCCACGGCTTTGCTGTTTCTCTTTCTCGAGTATGAAATGAAAAGAAACAAAAGCTGGCCTCCCTGTTTGCAGGGGGGTTGGTTGGAGGAGTACGAAGATAGCCGCCAGACAGACCGCTCCGTGGCTTTCCCTTTACCCGGTCCTAGTCAAACGCGTGGGCCGCCTCCACGTACCGGATTTCCACCTGACATCGACCACGTCGGCAAACTCCACGACGCTTTTTGGACTAGAGCTAAAAACAAATCTACCCACTTTTCCTAATTCATTCACAGCTATATCAAGGAGAGGAACCGACTAATTCCACAGCAGAGAGCAACATACTGCTGCAGTGCCGAATGATCTGCGGTTGATGCTTCACAAAGGGACAAAATAGCCACGTGTCCCCCCATTGGCCCACTGGATGAGGGGAGCATGTGCGAGTGCGACCCATTATTTGTTGGCCCTGCCTAGACAACGAGACAGACCAGTACCGTGCTTCTCTCTCAAGCCAAACGCAGATCGGATCCTTCTATTCTATGGCCTTGATCGAGGACGCATACGTCTGACCGAGAAAAGAGATTATATTTCATTTCAGTTCAAGTACACACGTGACCCGTGCGGACCTCGCTATGCATGTATTTTCGATCTCATCTGCCCCGTCCACAACCGCAGCGGGCTCTTTTATTTGCAGCAACTTGACAGACGTCGTCGCGCTACGACGATCCGTATCGCGATGCTGGTGCACAGATCTGGTTGAAAATGTGATGGAATGGTTTTCTTTGTGAAGTGGGAAAACGCATCGCACGTGTCGCCAGTGGTTACGTCGTCCCATCATCCAAGCGGATGACAAGCAAGTAACCCCTCATCTGATCGCCGCAGTTCGTAGGAGCAATCCGATCGGAAAGCTACCGCTCGGCTGAAGCGCAATGCAAATTTCAGCATGAGGGTCTATTTCCGTACGAGAGATGATAACAGCTCCACATTATCTACCTACCTCATAAGAAATGTCTTTTCTTTTTGTGGTACAAGAAGCTAAAACTTCAAACAGTACATGAAACGCTTGGGAATCATCTTCACGCCTATTGCCGTATCGCATCTGTGTCATGTGTTGTATCACATTATGTTTTTTGCGTTCCAATTTGAAAGCTTTATTCAACGAAAGAGCTCCTAGCATCATCAGCTATAAGGCGGGTGAGTAGGAAAGAGGGTCTAGATTCAGTCCAACTTTCGGTGACCATCGCATGCATGTTTAGCATAAAGGTGGGCCGGTACATTGGCTGATCTGCTTACATGTTGAATATCAAAAGAAAAAAAGAGGAAGCTAGCTCTCCAATTTCTAAAAGTAAATGTGCCACAATAGAAAGGCTATTGTGGCGAGTGTCCCAGAGGTCAACAATCTTCAGGCAGTCTGTTTTCATGATCACATGGGAAAAACCACGTAGATTAGCAAAGATAACTCCATCACGCAGCGCCATAGTCTCCCCAATGAACGAATCCGATATAATGTCACGGGACCATGTACCAGGGTGCAAGCGTGGCCTTCGAAGATCAAATTGTGCAAAGGCTTGTTCCCAGAACAACTTGGCATGGGAGCAATGCACCAAGGCATGCATAAGATCCTCATCCATTGCATTACAGACATTACATCTGCTGATTACCTTTATATGACGATGCCACAAGGTACATTCATTTGGAAGAATTCCACGCACCACTCTCCACCAGAAAACACGAACCTTCGGCAACACCTTGAGCTTCCATAGCGACTTCCACATCTGTTCTTTTGTCTGTGAGGATCCGGTAACTGTCCCTTCCTCTAGAGCTACAAGCTCCTTCTGAGTCACAAGAGCACGGTACACCGATTTTACAGAATAGATGCCACTTCTTTCATGGGCCCAAGCAAGAAAATCATCACCACCACCCGCCCGTAGTGAGATATTCAGTATAGCATCGACATCGGGGGATTTAAACACGTCCCTGATCAGGTCCCGACGCCACGTCCAGTTCCCCGGGTCAATGAGTTAATCAACTGTCTCAAGAGTAGTCCCACCCGGTACCACCATGGGCGACAATGTAGCGAGACCTAGAATCCATCTACCATGCCAAATTGAGATTGTAGTCCCGTCTCCCACCCTCTTGATCAGACCAGCTTGGAGCGCCGCCCTGCCTACCACTATCGCTCGCCATATGGCAGAGGAAGTCTTTGGCACCGTAGCCTCCATGAATTCACTATCAGGAAAATAACGACCCTTCATGACCCGGGCACAAAGCGACCCTGGGTTAGTAATAAACCTCCACCCATGTTTGCCAAGCAGCGCCAAGTTGAAAAGCTCCAAGTCATGAAAACCCATTCCACCGCGAGCTTTCAGAGAAGCGAGTTTGTCCCACGCCACCCAATGAAGAGAGCAAGGATCCAGGGATCCACTCCACCAAAACTTTGCCATACTGGCCGTCAGACTTTTGCATACCTTTTTCGTTAAAAGGAAGCAACTCATACTGAACATTTGGATTGCTTGAATAACTGACTTGATAAGTGATTCTCTCCCAGCACAAGCAAGGAGTCTCTCAGCCCAACCATTCATTTTACTCCGCGATCTCTCGCCAATGTGATCAAAAGTACCACTAGTAATCCTCCCTACAGTAGTTGGGAGTCCAAGATACCGCTCACTGAACGTCTCCACTTGAATGCCCAACGGAGTTTTCATCTCATGCCTTCTATCAGTTGGAGTGTTTGGCGAAAAGAAAACTAAACTTTTATCTCTATTGACAGCCTGGCCGGAGCATGAAGCATATATCATCAAGATTTCATTCAGCCGAACCACGCTCTCTTGTGTTGCATTGATGAAGATAAGGTTATCATCGGCAAATAATAAGTGGCTCACCCATGGTGCCCGAAAGGACACATGGATGCCTCTATCTTTTTTTGAAATAAAACTTGAACTTTATTAATGAGAAATAATTGTTACATTGTCCATAAGAAGAGGTACAATATCCTTCATCGGCTCCTCAAACCAATCCCTACTGGCAGAAATTTTTGCTAACCTAGCTATTTCATGGGCCACTCTATTTGCTTTCCTATTACAGTGTTCAAATTTAACTCTAGGAAAATCGCAAG